GTTCAGGGTTAGAGGTATTGAGAATATAGTTTATGTAGGTTCAGGGTTAGAGGTATGGAGAATATAGTTTATGTAGGTTCAGGGTTAGAGGTATGGAGGATAGTGTTTATGTAGGTTCAGGGTTAGAGGTATGGAGAATATAGTTTATGTAGGTTCAGGGTTAGAGGTATGGAGAATATAGTTTATGTGGTTTCAGGGTTAGGGGTATGGAGAATATAGTTTATGTAGGTTCAGGGTTAGAGGTATGGAGAATATAGTGTTATGTGGGTTCAGGGTTAGAGGTATGGATAATATAGTTTATGTGGGTTTAGGGTTAGAGGTGTGGAGAATATAGTGTTATGTAGGTTACAGGGCGTTGATATTTATATTGCTACACTGACTTGAATTAGATACAAGTTAGAAAACATAGATGTGGAATAGTATAGATTTGTAAAAAGCATCACCAATATTAAACTCATGGAAGTAATTATCACAGTAAATAATGTACAATCACTAAATAATGATAAAGGTCATCATTATGTCGTAAAATTAAACTTAGTTGTGACAATTTCAATATCCGTATATTATCGGTGAATAGCTAGATATACTTATTATCAGTTCGGATAAGACAGTTTGATATCAGAATTGATATTTTCACTTGACATAAGACAGTTTGATATCAGAGATTATATTATCACTTCAGATAAGACAGTTCTGATATCAAACTAACTGTCATATCTCAAGTGATAATATAATCTCTGATATCAAACTGTCTTATGTCAAGTGATAATATCATTTCTGATATCAAACTAACTGTCATATCTCAAGTGATAATATCATCTCTGATAATGACCTCTCTAAAGTTAAACTAAGATTCTTATCTCTGATAATGACCTTTCTAAAGTTAAACTAAGATTCTTATCTCTGATAATGACCTCTCTAAAGTTAAACTAATATTCTTATCTCTGATAATGACCTCTCTAAAGTTAAACTAATATTCTTATCTCTGATAATGACCTCTCTTAAGTTAAACTAGGATTCTTATCTCTGATAATGACCTCTCTAAAGTTAAACTAAGATTCTTATCTCTGATAATGACCTCTCTAATATTAAACTAAGATTCTTATCTCTGATTATGACCTATCTAAAGTTAAACTAGGATTATTATCTCTGATAATGACCTCTCTAAAGTTAAACTAAGATTCTTATCTCTGATAATGACCTATCTAAAGTTAAACTAGGATTATTATCTCTGATAATGACCTCTCTAAAGTTAAACTAAGATTCTTATCTCTGATAATGACCTCTCTGAAGTTAAACTAAGATTCTTATATCTGATAATGACCTCTCTTAACTAGGATTATTATCTCTGATAATGACCTCTCTAAAGTTAAACTAGGATTATTATCTCTGATAATGACCTCTCTAAAGTTAAACTAGGATTATTATCTCTGATAATGACCTCTCTGAAATTAAACTAAGTTGACTTATATGATATTATAGAACATTTGGAAGTATAAACTACATTTCTAAGGTTAAATTCAACCTACTTGCTCTTATAAGATATCTGGTGGTATATTCATCATAAATCGTAGTATACGACCTCTGGTGGCATATTCATCATACATGGTATTGTAAGACGCTTTTGGCATATTCATCATGCTTTATATAGAGAGATAAGCTCATGTAATCTATTCATATGTCCCGGCGAATTATTGGTATGTTTGGGGGGCTTATATCGTTAAAATTGGAAGTTCGATCCCCATGGTGGGCACAGCAAAAACAGCTCATTGTGCTGCTTAACAAGAAGTTAAATAAGCAAGTTTATCAATTATTGTGTCGCTATTGAATTTAATGTCTTGACGAGCAAAATAGTTTTAAATAAATTCTTCAATTGAAACAAGAACCTTTCAAAGTTTCATTTATACCAAAAAATACGTATATTATAATCAGAATAACTTCTAATTCTCTTAACATGAAGTTTCTAGCCCTGGGCTTATTTATCAAACACTTTACTTGTCCATTATTTGCCACTACGTTTTTCATGTTGCTTACATGATTTAATGAAACTCATCTCTGTGTCCGTTAAACTTTTGGTAGTGGCTATCAACACTAAAATCAAATGAATGTTTTTTACGTCAAAGAAGATGTCTAAAGAAACTATTCAACACAGAATATTAGCTTTTAGAAGTAATAAAAAACAGTCCTATTGATAAAGACGACAATGAAACCTGGATACTCAGTTCTTCTCTTTTTTTTAAGAAAACGTCTGTAATCTCTCGTCGTACAAAGCAAGACACTTTTTTTTTCGCTTCTTACAGAAAACAGGGAATTAAGTCTGGCCTACATGTTAATGTCATAGCTGACCTTTATCTACAGACTTCCGGTTGTTTAAGTACTATTGAGAATTCGTAAAAAACGAAACAAAAACTAAAAGAAGTGGTTTTTCTTTGATCTACTTGTTGAAAAATCGTTACAAGTTGGGATAATAAAAACCACCCAAGTTAAGTATCTAGAAATTACGAACGTGTGAGCTCTAAGCCTTGTCTACTTAAACTTTTACAGGTACCAAGGTGCTTAATAACAACCAGGTCTTAAATGTTTACAAATAACTGTTGTTTCACAAGATATATGAGCAAAAACTAAACTCGGATAAATGGTAATAAGGGATAAGTTAACCCGTATAAATAAAAACTTTATAAGATCATATTTTTTGTAACGTTGCGGTCAGACGCCCTTCATCAGAATATTTTACATTGAAAATCAATGTTTTTCAATGTAACACGGTTTTAACTATATGACAAATAGCGTCTGCCCAGAAAGTTAACATTATTTTTTTTTTACATAGACGAGTTAATTTATCCCTTATTACATTTCATCCAGGTATAAACCTTTAAAAGTTAAGTATATAGCAATGACTGAGGTCTTTCAGTAATCATTACGTGTGGTTAATAACATTGTCAATAATGGGTATTCTGTTACACCTGTGTATAGTGTATCATTACGCGGTGACTGAGTTTGCCGTTTCTCAGTAATCATCATGTGTGGTTAATAACATGGTCAATAATGGGTATTCTGTTACATCTGTGTATAGTGTATCATTACGCGGTGACTGAGCTTGCCGTTTCTCAGTAATCATCATGTGTGGTTAATAACATGGTCAATAATGGGTATTCTGTTACATCTGTGTATAGTGTATCATTACGCGGTGACTGAGTTTGCCGTTTCTCAGTAACCATCATGTGTGGTTAATAACATGGTCAATAATGAGTATTCTGTTGCATCTGTGTATACTGTATCATTACGCGGTGACTGAGCTTGCGTTTCTCAGTAATCATCATGTGTGGTTAATAACATGGTCAATAATGGGTATTCT